TTCTTTCGTTCTTTCGTTCTTTTTTTAAATTTTTAAACAAATAGGTTAGGAGGAGAGGGGGGGAAAATCCATGGAAATAAACACTTTCTCACTCCAATATATATATATATATATATAAAAAGCAGGATTCTCAGTGAACACAAAATTCTATAAAACTACCATTGATCTGTGTTGTTTTCTCCCCCTTTTTTTTTTCTTTTTAAAAGTTGCTTTAAAAAGGATAAAAAGTGCACAGACACCCTTATAAGGCACAAACAGATCTTCTGTACAAATCATTTATCATCAGACTGTTTAAAAAAAATAGCAACACGCGTACTAACAATTAAATCTGTAAGAGGCTACCTTTTCCTGGAAATCTTTTTGTTAAGAGGCCTATTTTGGGAAATCCCTGTTGCTCCTGGATAGGCAGGGAAACATGTCCGCTGCTCTCCCGCCCTGCTCACTGCACGGCTGCGCTCCGGACCCTGACTCCTGGCATTCCCCGGAATGAGCTGGCTCCGTTGAATGCTGTCCCTTTTGCTCCTGCAGCCCTCAGCTGCTGCAGCAGTAATTCAGCCTGCGCAATGTGTCCTGAACAGCTCAGACAGAGCCTGGGGTGGATTCGGTATTTCTCCTTGCTGGCTGAAAATGAAAAAAAAAAGAGCTACACCAAAAAAAACTCCACCCCAGGCATGCAACTGGTCTCGCTCACTGGGGCGTCAGCCAAGCAAAGGGGCTCTGCGCTGCTCGTGCACGTAGCTGTGTCCAGCCACCAAACGGGACCGGGCACCCCTGAAACTGGGACAGCAGCCCCAGGGATGGCCGCTGGCCTTTGGTAGCCCAGACCTGATCCAAGCTAGCATCGCTGTGGAGTCAGACCACTTCCCTTGAACTCCTCATCACGCAAAGGCCTCCCCCCAAACCCCTGCGGTCCCGGGGCGCAGGGCAGCCTGGAGAGCTGCCCTCGCTGCCTCCTTTTGCCAAGGCGCGAGCAGACTCGTGCCACAGCCGCAGCGCCGGTGGCTCTGCTGAGGCACTGTCGATGCCAGGAGCCGAGTTTCCAAAAAGGGCTCTGCAAAGCCAGCAGGCTTTCGTGCCGATGCAGCAGGGCAATGGGTGAGAGAGCTCACACTACAGCAGCCTCTCATTTATACACTTAATTAAAATGTTAATTAGCTCTTCAAGGAAAAAAAAAAAGGTTTTCTCCATCGCTTATGGGCTGGCAGGCACAGCCCACCACGGGAGGAGGAAGAGCTGCTCCCCTGCATCTGCTCTCCCTGATGGCAGAGCGGGGCTGGGACGGGGCTGGGTGCCGGTCGGTAATCGAGCACGGCACCGCCGGCACCACCAAACCACCCAGGCAGTGCCAAGGTGGCAGTGCCCTGTGGCTGGCGGGGGGAGGAGACAGTGGACAGCGAGGCAAGGTGACAGACACCCACCACGTCAGGCTGCCCCTCTGTGCCCTGAAGCCCTGAAATGTACAGGGGTTGCTATTCTCTCTTTTCTTTTTTGGACTAAAATGTGGTAATTGCACCTTCTGAAGAAAGCCATTCTTACCCACTTGGTGGCACATGGTCACCGAGCTAGAATGACACCAGTCCCTCTCTCATCTCTGCCCCTGTTCACGAGCCCGGAGTGGCCGGAAACCAGGCAGGCTCAGGCTGAGGGACAGGACAGGAGCTGTGCAAGCAGGCAGAGGACAGAGGACGCGGGAGCAGCGGGGAGGAGGGCACCGAGCTCCTCACACCAGCCCAGTGCTGCAAGCTCAGATGCTGCCCGGCTCCAGGCTGCTGCTGCTTGTAGCTGTTTAATGGCACAGCCAAAACCCATTTACCTTTTAAGTCCCAATATCTAATAGCCCCAGAGCCTTTTTCTTTCCTCGTCTCAAGTAAAGCCAAGTGAGATAGATCCCTTTTCACTGCAACAAGTTCTCATCTACTGTTGGGACCTGGAGTCTGGGTATCTGGGAGCTGTACTGGGAAACCTGGAAAGGCAGGAGAAAGAGCAGGTAAAATCAGCACATACACAGTCCCCAGAAAAAAGGTGAGCCTGCTGGGACTGGATCAGAAACTAATTTCTCACCATGGGCTCCAAAAAGTCCCTGTGGTGAGGTGGGAGGAAGGCTGAGCCCCGCAGCGGCGCTGGCCGCAGGGGAAGGGCTCGTGGAGGCGAGCCAGGCCGGACGGCGTGGGACGGCAGCTCTGCCACCCACCAAGAGGAGCAGAGCAAAACGCAGGCGCGTGTGCCTGGAGGTGACAAACACCATCGCTGCAGGCGGCAGGACTGCAGTGCGCCCGTCCAAAGGCCCCTCTCATCCTCCGGCTGCAATTGATGGCTTCAGCGGCCGGACGTACGGGCAGTGCCTCCACAGCCAGCGCTGTGGCCGCAGCAGCTTCGGGGGCTCTCAGCGGGCTCCTGCTCCTCGCTGCTGCCCCAGGGCTGCTCCCCAGGTCTCAGCCTCCCTGGGCAAAAGTCCCTGCTCTGCCACAGAAAGCAGAAGCTGTTTTATCTAAGCCCAGACCAGCTTCTCCACATGCCCCAGAAGCCTGTTCAAGGGGGCAAAACCCAATCAAGTGAGAATCTGGCTGTGCTACTATTTTGGCCTGAGCTAGTTCCCCGTACACAGATGATCATGACATTTCCAGATCAGTTTTGTCCACTTTGAACCCTCCCACTGGGCCTTGTCCTAATTTTGTCCCAGCACAGCGCAAGCAGCCGGCAGCAGCCCAGAGCTGTTGAGGTTTCGGGGTCAGGAAGCCCAGTGGCACCCAGCACTGGCCAAGTGGCAACCTCCCCTTCCTGACCTGCACCACAACAAGCCTCCTCCGGAGGAGGAGGGAAAAAAAAAAGAGCCTTTGCATGGGAAATTTCTCATTTGCAGCTGGGTCGGGTGCAGACTGCGATTCCCCAGATTTGCCCATGGGCACATGGCAGCTGTGCCTCCTTCGGGCCCCATGTAATCCTCAGCTCAGTTTTATCCCTGAATTGTGCCCTACCAGTCAAATAAGGAAACACAGATAACGAGCCACTTGATAACGACTGACCAGCACGATAACCCATAAGCAGGGACGGAAAGGCATGGTTACTGCTAGCGGCGTTCCCCCTTCCTACAGCCCGAGCTGGGCGCTAAGGGCGGTATATTTTAATAACATCTTTGATGACCCGTCGGCAGATGGGGCAGCAGGCGTTGAGCTGCTTCTTCAGCTTAAGACCGCAGGTGTTGCAGAGGCACATGTGTCCGCAGGTGTAGATCACCGTGTCCACCTCGCTGTCAAAGCAGACGGTGCATTCCCCGTTCTTGCTGCTTGATGGCTCCGGAGGGGGGAAGACGGGAGAGATGGGTGGGCTCAGGGGGGAGCTGGGAGCAGTCACTGTCAAAGAGGAGGAAGGAATGAGATCATTTAGTCACCAGGATGGTGCAAACCTGACACTCTACAACACACGCACACTCAAGTCAGTTTTTAAGGTTCTTCCTTCCCTAGTCATTGCCTGGGTCGTTTGGCCAAACAAACCCCAGCATTTTCTAATTGCTAGCACAGGTACAGCTCCGGGCAGAACCTGCCACCCCTTTTCTACAGATGGGCAAAGCATGGCATACCTGGGCTTCCCCAAGCAGGGCCGTGATTTTGCACCCCCATTTCATGGCGTGGGTGTGCAGAGCCCTGCTCTCCCGAAGGAGCCGTGCTCCACGCAGGGCATTCCTTCGCCAGCCATGCTGGGCGGCTGTGGCACAGCGCAACAGCGGTGTGTGCCAGGGACGGGGCCGTCTGCCCAAGACCCAAACACCAGCACGGGAGCGTTTACATGGGCATCCCCCCAGCAGCAGAGCCTCGGCGGTGCAGAACGTGGCAGTCGGGGTGGTGTAAGGCCCCCAGGCGTGATATCGCGCTCCTGGCAAGGGCAGCCCCACAGGGACTGCTTGCATTAGACAGACCGACAAAGTGGGAAGCAACACGCAGCCCTTCTTCAGGCCACGAAAATCTTCCCACCGCTTTGTGATTTCTTCCAATCATTTCTGCTGGCTTTGGAGGAGATGTAACATCTCCCCCAACCTTGCCCTGCGGACTCAGCCTGGAGAAGGCTGCGAGGGGACTTTACAAATGCTTACAAATATCTGCAGGGTGGGTGTCAGGAGGATGGGGCCAGACTCTTTTCAGTGGTGCCCAGGGAAAGGGGCAATGGGCACAAACTGAAGCAGAGGAAGTTCCGTCTGAACATGAGGAAGAACTTCTTCCCTCTGAGGGTGACGGAGCACTGGAACAGGCTGCCCAGGGAGGTTGTGGATTCTCCTTCTCTGGAGATCTTCAAGACCCACCTGGACAGGGTCCTCTGCAGCCTGCTCTGGGTGACCCTGCTTCGGCAGGGGGTTGGACTGGGTGACCCACAGAGGTCCCTTCCAACCCCGAACATTCTGTGATTCTGTGATTCTGTCTGTCAGCCCAGACTCGTGTCTTGGTGCAGCCAGCACAGCCGGGTGCCGAGGGCTGGGCTCTCCTTACCGAGCGATGACTCTGAAGCAGACGACGACCTGTTCACGCTGAAGGCCATGTCCGAGTCGCTGTCGTACTGCGAGCCGCCCGGGGATCCTGAGGGAGAGACGGTCACTGGGCTGGACTGCACAGTGCCTGCAAACACAAGGGAGAGCTGAGCCCGCCGCAGGGCTGACGGGCACCCCAACCCCAGCTCAACGCCCCTCAGCCCGGCCAGTCGCATCCACCCCCTCTGCCGAGGGTGCTTTGGGAGAGAGTCCAGCTGCCCAGTAAAGGGCTGCCCCTTAGTAACAATACAGATGCATGAGTTTGGGTGTCATCTCCGTGGCCTGGACCTCACTACACCACTGTACAACTTCTGTTTGGTGCTTCAGGGAAGCGAGCACCAGGTTATCTGACAGCCGCCACCTGGGGTGTAAAGTTACTTCCCTGCAGCCCCAGTCTCTCCAGCAGCAGTGGCCTCAAGCTATCGCTGTCTCGCTGTCAGGTCAGGGGCAGGTGGGAAAAGGCATTGCTTTAAATGAGAAAAACCTGCTTTACAAAATCATCAACATCTGCTTTTCTGACAGAATCCTTAACAAGAGGAAAGGAGAAGCACTGTAACCGGTCACCGGCAATGGATCAAAAGTGACACCTGATACCCAAGCTGTGGCAGTGCGTGGGGAGCGATTACTGCCCACCAGCAACACACATCCTTAAACCCGAGCTGCGCTCACAGAAATCATCGCCCTTACCAAGGCAAGAGTTTCATACTTGTTGGCTGGACTAGGGGGTTTATAAAGAATCCCTTTTTAAAACAAATCCTCTGAAAATCAGCCATCTCTGCCTCCCTACCTGCTGCTTATTTTATCTCTCAAGTCTCGTCCTTTTCTGGGTGACTGCATACATCTGTGTGACAGCGACCATGTCTCACTCACTCTTGTTTTCAAACACAAGGCGAGATCAGGACCTGCTTCCTCACACCCGTGAGCACCTGCTAAAGGCAACGCTGTGAATACAAAGCCACTGCTCCTGTTCTGGCCCAGGAAACATCACCAGCCAGGTGCTCCCCATTATCATTTCTTTTGGCTGCACTTACCCAATATTTTGAGCTGGTTGATTACGCCATGGATTGTAAAAAACACCCAGAGAGACTGTGAGGTGTCCACGCACATTAGCATTCCTCGGCTGGTTCCGTTCACCCCATGATGCACCTCTCCATTCGGCAAGACCATGAAACTGAGAATGTCACCGCTGTTGAGGACCGGGAACGCTCGGTAAACCACCCAGTACTCCTTGCGGTCCAAGAGAAAGTCCGGATCTGCTGGGAGCTCATTTGTCCGTAAAGTACTCGGATCACAAGAAGTGATGCCAAATGAAAGGGCCCCGTAGTATGGCAGCCCAAGGTGTCCTACTTCCACAAAGAGGCTTTCACCGATGTGCAAAGGCCGGTCAGAAAACATCAAAGTCCTATTGCTTTCTTGCCAGTTGGTGCATGCAACCATCCGGTCCTGAGAAAAGGTGATGTCAGGTCCACGGGTGGGGTGGAATCGCAGGTCTGTGTCCAGGAAGGCTGGGACCCCCTGGGCACGCTGCCGTCGGTTTGGGCAACAGGGGATGATGTGGTTGTCTGTCGCGAGTCCTGGAACCCGACTTAGGTTTAGGTTTGCAATTTTGGCCACCACTTGGTTATTCTCCAGTTCGTTGTTATTGAAGTTGGCTGAATCATGGTTGCTCTGCGGAAGGCAAGTGCTGAGACGGGCAGTGCTGAGACGGGCAGTGGTCATGGTCTCTGCAAACATGCTATCTGTGAGATAAACCCAGTGACAGGGACATTAGACTCAAGATACTATTGCCTACTTTTGTGGTTACAATTGTTATTATTTCAGCCTACAGATTATCTGAATTCTGTTCCTCTGAATGGAAAAACAATGGAAAAATTAGAGGCCAACCACTAATGAACAGCTAGTGGTGGAGAGTCACATGTGGAGCAGGCAGCATGCCAAGAAATAGCTGCATCTTGGCACTAGCTGAGGGAAAACAAGTGTTATGGAGTACCCATGTAATATGGGAGCTCCTCGCCCTCGTGAACTGGGAGCAGCTGTAAACCAGTGTGGTCCTACAGCTTTCTCAGTAGAGGGTTCTAATAGCTTTGAGGTTGCTCTGTAAAAGAAGAAAACAACTCAGTATCTTGTTGTCCAAAGCTCTTGTGCAAGCCAAATCCACAACACAGCGATGGGCAAAGGAGCAGAAGCACGAATAGATATTCTTTTCACACTCCTTGTCATTGCCTTACAGCTGTGAGGCGTCCAGGCACAGCTGTGGCCATATGAGAAGATTTCAAGCCTCCTATCCCAGGGGTGTTCACACCACTGCAGAGATTCTGAACTGAGAGCTTATCATAAAAGCTACTTGCTGCAGGTGTTACAAAGAAGATTTCTACAGCAGAGAGTTATTTTCCTCTTTCACAGCAAAGGGAAAGCGAGGATGCTGACTCCTAATTAATTTGCCAGCTTTTTGCCTCAGCCATGCCAGGCCGGCAAGGGATTCAAAGGTGTGGGGTGGCTCAGGAGTGCCCTGCCTTCTGCCTCCAGCACTGGCCCGGGCGGCTCGGACACTTTGCTCCGAAAGCAAGGCATTAACCAGCACAGCAAAGGCAACACGCATGGGAGTTAAGAGTGCATGAATGAAGCAGACTCCTGGTCTTCCCAAAGACGGAGAGGGGAGAAGCATCTCAGCACCAATACTGCCTGCTCCTTAGAGGAGGAAATCACCAGGCTTTTACCAAAGAAGCAAGAACACCCGAATCCATCCAGCAGCTGCAAAGCAGAAGCTCCCTTCGCACAGAAGCCCATGCAGGAGAGGCCACCGGTGTAGGCTGATGGCTGGACCAGCTGCTTCTAGCCAGCACAGGGTGTCTGGCAAGAAATGCTCCCACAGATGAACAACATACATCCAAGCTTCACAGTGCTGAAAGATGCATTTTGTGCATCTGTATTTGAGCTGTATTTCACAGCTTTCTTGACTTGCAAAATTTTGGGAGGATGAGGCAGAGAGACAAACACGTCCGCTATGACACCACCACGTCTGTAGCAAGAAGGTTGGGTCCCCTGGTGCCCCGAATGGCTGAGCACCACCCTGATTTCTGGGGCAGTTTGTGGGGCTTGGGACTTTGATTAAAAAAATACCAGGGTACAGGTGCCCTCAGGCTGAGTCTTTCACTCTGCACATTTGAACACTGCAGGTAGGACTGAGGGGTGCAGAGCAGAAATAAGCTGCATTTTATTTTTCTAACTATAATCTAATGAGGAAGAAGGACTGCTCTGGCGAAGCAGCTGCACTGCCCAATACAGCAAATGCTCCTTCACCTCTGTGATGAGCACCAGAGGCTGGAGCATGTCGCAACTGCAATTACAGGATAAGCTACTGGTAAGGTTTAATTACACATTTGAGGCAGAGCAGGCAGGGCAAAGTGTTGTTTATGTATAGCCTTCTCGCCTGTAAAATAATTGGTACCGTTCAGAAGAATATGTGATGAAGCTGCCTGCTCACCAGACTAACCATTTCACAGCTGATCGCTGGTGCCTGCTCGGTGTGAGCATGGAGGCACCATCCCCTGGAGCAGGTACAGCTTAATTTGGCTGTCAAAACTAAATAAGCTCCTAGGAGCCTCTGGGAAAGGGCAACACTTCTGTATTTTAAAAGGATTCCCTGTGATGCAGACCAGTTCAAAACACTCCATCTAACACGGAATTAATCTGAAACTTCAATGCTGTAAAAGTCATGAAAGGACAGTCGTTCCATGGCAATCAGCTTGGTTTGCTAACGGGAACAAATTCATTCCCCCTTGCAGCCCTCCCCAAGGACGATGGTTGTAAATCAGCCGGGCACCACCCAAATGCAGCAATCTGCCAAGGATCCCGAAGCACACGGGAGCTCGTGCTGCATTTACTTATCACTCGTCAGCTGGCGGGCTGCATCCTGCGCTGCAGCGGTGCTTTGCAGGCGTACAGTGATGCCCATGAGTAAGGAAAGGGTAAGTCGGGTTACGTCTGCAAACATAGCCTGTTAAACAGCCAGCACCAAGGTGGGCACCAAGGTCAAGAGCTGAGAGAGGGGCTGGGGAAGGGCGCCAGGAAACTCTCGGGGAATGGGTCATAGTTTTCCAGTGGACTGGCAGTAATTGGCAGCTGGGGAAGAAGAGGGGAAGCCAGAGCTGGTCACCTTTGTGTCCTCAGTCCCTACAACCTTGCTGTGAAGCAGCACGATGTTTTTCCAGGCCATAGCAGCACATCTAGCTCAGAAAAGGCTGGCTAAAGCTAAATGTGAAGATTTCCATTTATCCCTTCACATGGCTGCTATAATGCAAAGCCTTATGACTTTCCATCACTGACATTCTGAAATATGTTGCTTTCTGGATCCCCGCTGCTGGCAAAAGAAAAATGGTTAATTTGAGGTACAAAACCAACAGTAAATTAGTTTTCTTAAGTGTCCCATAGAAATTATCAATCAGATAGATCACGGATCTTTTCTCTGTGATCATGCCTTTGTGGAAAGAGTAACCAGAAGAGCAAGCCACGGGTCAAAACACACACTTACCTAGTATTTGCACTTCATGGGTAATTCCATAGACATCTATGAGTGCCCAGAGAGGACCAGAAACTTTAATACCACAGTGAAACAATATTGGCTCCTCGTCATTAATACTGTAGAATACTCTTCCATGACGGTCAACCCAGAAGGCCAAGATATTGTCTCTCACAGCAAACCTCTCTGGCAAAGCTTTGGCCCAGTATCCGGGTCGGGTCACTAGGTCTGGGCAGGCGTACTTTGGTATCTCATCAGAGCTCATCTGTGATGGGTCATGAATGGTGAAGCCAAAGCGCAGGGCCCCACTCCAGCCATGGTGCACAGCCACCAGCTTCAGCCTGACCTTCTCGTAGAGGTGGATGGGCCGGTTGGTGAAGGTGACCCCGTTGCAGAAGCTGTTCCTGCGCGTGGCCTTGCGGGAGTGAGCGTCCAGACGCACGTTCTTGCCTTTGGCTTGGGAGTGGAAACGCGGCGGCTCCGTGATAGCGAGGACCGAGCGTCTCTCATGGCTGCTGTTGGGCAAACTGTAGTAGGGGCGGCTGGAGACGGAGCGGGTCTGGTGGCTTGTGTCTGCAAAAGGAGAAACCAGCAGCTCCGTCAGACGTGCTTGACCCAAGCCATGTGTTAGGTCAACCCGGGAAACTGCAACTGGCTTCCCACGCGTGCTTTGCATTACCCGCTGTGAACCACACTATTTAATCTCCAAATGCTGTGCTTGGCCACAACCTGCTCCTTGTTGCCCCAATTTGGCCCTCAGTTTTATACAACTATAAGGCAAATGTGGCTCCTGGGGCAAAGGTCAGGCAGCTTCCCTTCTACGCCCCACAAAGCTGGATGAAAACGAACGTCCTTTTGTTCCTGTCAGATGCATCCTATTGCACTCGGAAAGCCATAACACTTGTGACGGTGGCTCCGAGTTTCCTATTTACAGTGCATGTGCTGTTAAATCACCAGCTGGTGGTCGGAGTGACACTGAGAACTGTGGGCCATTTGGATCAGAGGTGCTCAAGATGAACGCAGATAAAGGATACTGATTTTCTGGGGACATGTTGCCACTGGCTTCTCTGTCCCTTAATTTTGTAATGATGAACAGGAGCTTTGGACCAACACAAATAAACCAAGACATTCAGTAGCTGGAGCACCACCTCTGCATCACCAGGCTGTTCCTCTGAAACTTTCAACCAAGCCCCTGGTTCAGATATCGGATGCAACTGGTACATTAAGGAACATTTCATCCCGCAAAGACTTGTCTTTACATAGAACCTCCCATTTGAGCTCAAAGCACTTTATAAATGATGATTGTTTTCAGCTTCACAGCACCACAGATGGCACAGAAATCCTGCCATCCTCGTTTTACAGATGGGAGAAGGAGAATTTACGGGTGAGATCTTGCAGCATTTAAAGTCAATAGCAATTTCGAGACCAATTTCAAGAAAAGCAGATTTGAGGCCTAAAGTGAAGTTCACACGAGCATGAAGCAGAAATGAGAAAAGCTCAACTTTTAGTCTTAAACCTTAGCTGTAAGTTCCCTGAGGCAGAGACAGCCTCTTTTGTGTATCCCTACACACAGGGTCCTGCTCGGGGACCAGGGTTCCCATGACCAGCACCAGTGTGTTACCTGCACTTTGATCTCCCTGTTTCCCACCCACTCTCCTCTTTGCACCTGGCTTTGCACATTTTTAAAGCAAAAATGGAGGGCATCCTGGGTACTCAAAGTGATCCTGTTAAATATCAAACTGCATCACAAGCACGCATTTATTTTGAAACACGTTGCCACGTTTGAAGTTTTAGAAGCTGCCTGCCTGGCCCTTCCTTCAAGCTGCTTCCTCCCTGTCTGTAAGCCCTGGCTTTGCTTCGGGACAAGGGAAGGATTTTCTGACGCTTTCCTCTCTTGGAAGGAAACACCAGAAGATGCCAGGAGCTCAGCTGGGAAAGCCGGCAGGAGACCTGCAGCTGTGACACTTTTTTTGCAAGCAAAACCCTACCAGGTAGGGCAGCGAGCGGCCGGGACTTGCATTTGCTGCCTGAACTAACAGAGGCTCTGAGCAACCGCTGCCTTTGCAAACGCAAGAGAAGAGGGGTCACGGGCAAGATCTGAACACAGGATCAGCCCCTGAAATCAGGCATATGCAACAGGAGCCAAAGAAATACAAAGGCAAAAGGCTCCTGTGTGCTTCAGGAAAAAAGGTCAGTCCTAAATTACGACAGGCAAATGCAGTGGCTGAATAGAAGGTCTTTTGTATCGCTTCGCACTGCATGTGACAGTTGCTGCGTCGCACAAGGTAATGGTTAATCTTGTCGTGCACTAAGGTAAATAAATACATCCTTGCTCTTACAGCAGTGGGGGGCTTGCCATTTCCACGCCAGGGACATGATGGCTGAGTCGGGGAAGCCGGGGAGGAGAGAAGCCCCCCAGTTGTTAAATCCCCTTGGGGCGGTCTATCGCTTCGCACTGCATGTGACAGTTGCTGCGTCGCACAAGGTAATGGTTAATCTTGTCGTGCACTAAGGTAAATAAATACATCCTTGCTCTTACAGCAGTGGGGGGCTTGCCATTTCCACGCCAGGGACATGATGGCTGAGTCGGGGAAGCCGGGGAGGAGAGAAGCCCCCCAGTTGTTAAATCCCCTTGGGGCGGTCCCCCTGCCTGCACAGCACCGCTTGCAGCCGTGCGGGGCCAGGCTTCCCCCAGGTCTCCCCGTGCAGGAGGGGTTCCCCGGCTCTGCGGGGTCAGTGCTGGTGCGGTTATTTCTCTTGGGTATTCCCAGGAGAAATCTCCTTTCTTGCCTGCCAAAGAGCTGAACTGCAGAAGATGGCTGCTCTGAGCACTGGATGCACAGAGCCTTCGTGCTGTTGGACTGGGACAGGGGTTCGGCACAGCCACGGACGGGTGCTGCCGGCTCAGCCTCCCGCGGGAGCCGGTGGGCTCAGTGCTGCTCCTCCACACTGCACCTCCCCGTGTAGGAGGCAACAGCCTCCCCACGTAGAGTCTCATTTCATAATCCACTGAGCAGCATTTTTTTCTAAAATGCTTAAAAATAACTCCCCTGTGAAAATGACTGTCCTGGCCTCAATGTCCCCGTGTTGGCCAGGAGGAGGAAGGAGGGAGAAGAGCTTTTGTTCTCCTCTCTGCTACCCCAAGAGTCCTCTGCTTTCCACCCCCTGTGCAGCACCAGCCTTCCTCCCACACCCACCTGCTGGGGAAAAGACGCGTGAAGACCGAGCACAGCGGGACACGATGCCCTCCGGCCCCTCTGGCACGGCTCCCACGCCGGTACCCCTCACGCCGCTTTGGGACAGCGCGGAGGACCGGGACGGGAGTGACAGTGACAGCAGCGCGACGGACGGAAGACGATGGCACGGGCACCCACTTCAAACGCAGCTTTGGGCCCACCCTGCCAGAGAGGAACTTGGGGCCAGGGTTTGGCTTTTTTTTTGTTTTGTTTTTTTAAAAACAGGAAAGCATATTGTGGCTAAACAATAGGGAAGTCTCCAGAAGGAAATGAATGCATAATTTATTTAGAACTCCGTTCCCCCCTCGCATGAACACCTGCCGGCTGCCACCAGGAATAAAGCCCGACACAACCCAAGGCAGGGGAGGCAGAGCTTTCCCACTGAAACACGCCCGAAGCTGAGCCTGGGCATTTGCTTTACTCATTAAGTACTGACGGGGACTAGGCAAGCTCAACAGGATGTTTGTGCCTTTGAATTGCCCTGATTTGCAGCTCGGCTTCCACAGTTTGGATCACATTTCAGTCCCTCTGCTATTTCTCCAAACTTTCCCCTCTCCCGTCTGTGCTTTCCTACGCAAAAGGCCACCAGTGGGATGACAGCCCAAAAAAAAAATGCCACCCTCCCCAAGGGTGCCTGATGCTGGGACAGGCAGCTAAGAGCTACACCAACTCTTTTTTTTTTAGCTATGAGACCAACATACTATGCTACAATGCTTTGAACAAGCAATTTTTTCTCTTTATGCCTCACTTCCCTGCCTAAGAAAGAGTATCACAGAATCATAAACTTATTAAGGTTGGAAAAGACCTCTAAGATCATCAAGTCTAACTGTCAACCCAACATCACCATGTCTGCTAAATCATGTCCTGAAGTGCCATATTTACAGGTCTTTTGAACACCTCCAGGGATGGTGACTCAACCGCCTCCCTGGGCAGCCTGTTCCAATGCCTGCCCACTCTTTCAATAAAGAAATTTTTTCTAATATCCAATCTAAACCTCCCCTGATG